TTTCTACATGTACAATTCAGTGACATCGATTACATTCTTCCAGTTGTGCTGCTATTCTCACTACCCTTTCCAAATTATTCCATCACCATTATCTTCAACTCACTGCTCCCAGGCTTCCCATCAAATCTTTTGAGTTGCTGTTGTCAATTTGATCTCACATAGATAATTCTTTTTTTTTTTTGTACCTTAGATGAAGGTTTACGGAACAAATAGTTTCTCGTTAAACAGTTAGTACACATATTGCCCTATGACAATGGTTAACAACACCACAACATGTCAACACTGTCCCTTCTCAACCTTGGGTTCCCTATCACGAGCTTTCCTGTCCCCTCCTGCCTTCTAGTCCTTGTTCCTGGACTGCTGTGCCTCATTAGTCCCGTTTTGCTTTATGGCGCTGTCCAATCGCTGGCTGAACGTTGAACCTCGGGAGTGACTTCAACACTGAGCTAAAAGGGTGTCCAGAGGCCATACTCTCGGGGTTTCTCCAGTCTGCCAAGCCAGTAAATCTGGTCTTTTTTTGTGAGTTAGAATTTTGTTCTACATCCCATTCCAGCTCTGGATAGGACCCTCTGTTGTTATCCCGGTCAGAGCAGTCAGTGGTGGTAGCTGGGCACAATCTAGCTGTACTGGACTCAGTCTGGTGGAGACCTTGGTAGCTGTGGTCTATTAGTCCTTTGGAATAATCTTTTCCTTGTATCCTGTTCTCTTCGTTCTCCCTTGCTCCTGAAGGGGTGAGACCAGGGGAGTATCTTAGATGGCTGCTTACAGGCTTTTAAGACCCCAGACACTACTCACCAAGGTAGAATGTAGAACATTGTCTTTAGAAACTGTGTTATGCCGGTTGAGCTAGATGTTCCCGGAGACCATGATCCCCACAGTCCTCTGCCCAGCAATTCAGTCCCTCAGGGAGTTTGGATATGTCTATGGAGCTTCCATGACCTTTCCTTGCACAAGTTGTGCTAGCTTTCCCAGTATTGTGTACTGTCTCACCCTTCACCAAAGATACCACTTATCGATTGTGATTAGTTTTTAACAGGATCACTCTGGCTGTTTGTTAAGAATATACTGCAAGGAGTCAAGTGTGGAAGCAAGGAGGCCAGTTGGGAAGCTTGGGAAGGCATTTACACAGGCACCAAACTTACATAACTACTTTTAGGGAAGAAATCAACTTATGTTCTTTATATGTCCAAGTTTTTGTTCCTATTTATCTCATCCTCTGAGTTTTTTGAGACCATCTTTAGCACCTTTATCACTGGTAATACCTTTTGTAAGTTTTTATTTTAGCACTTAACATTGTATTGCTATGGTGTACATGCCCATTTACCAGCTAGATTGTAGAGCCAGGACTGTCTCATTCTTCTTTATATCTCTAATACCTTACATAGTTCCGAGCACATAGTTGATAGTCGATAAACATTTACTGAATAAATGCATAAACAGAAGTGTATTGGTATGTTTTTAATCCTCAAATGTTTGGAGTACAATAAATACCTCCAAATTTAGCTCTGTTATATCTTCCTGGAATTCACTATCTTGAGAATTAAATCCGGGATCAAAGCTCTACTAACATCACTGAGATTGGATAGCTAACTTTTTTCTTTGTGACAGTAGGGCTTCAAACACCCCCATTGCCAAGATGAAGTGCAACTTGTTAATATTAGGACTGAACGGAAGAGCATCCACCTACCCCTACAATATTTGGAATCCAACTTAATCCCTTCTCTTGTTCAATCTGTGTAGGCCAAGAAGATTTTCAGCCACCAGAAAGTCTGCAAAGATGTACTCTATTAGTCCAAAGGTGTCAGCAGGTGACTTACTTACAAGAACACTTGGAAGTTGGACCAGTAAATTTGAATTCTGTCACTAAATAGCCATGTGATCTTAAGTAAGACCTTCAATTTCTTAGAGTCTGTTTCAACATCTGTAAAAATGGGTATTAGAGTAGGGCATCACTGAGCTCATTTCTAGGTCTAAGACTCTATAAACCTTCAAATGCCTAGGAACCAGTTTAAGAAATTATCATCTTAAAAATCTCATGTCTTGTTTTTATTTCTCCAGGGGTTTCTTCTTCTGACTCAGAAGGGGACCCTAACAAAGAAGAGATGAATCGGTAATTCTAAATTTTCTATCTAATAGACTGTAAGCCTCTTCCTTAACATCCCCAGATCCTGAGAAGGCTGCTAATTGGTTATTAGAACTTGAAATCTGCAGGAGAAGGTGACTCCAGTGTATGACCTCAAAAGAAAAGACTGAGTAGATTTGGAGAATACTCTAATTCTTTTACTTAATCTTTCCTAGCAGATTATTTTTAATATTCCCAATATTTTTTAAATGAGGTATCACCTGTGAAATGTCATAATACTTGTATCTACAGAGTAAAAAAAAACTCAGTGGTTTAAAAAATTCAAGAACACAATATCTGGTGATCTTAAATTATATATATATATAAACTCATGGTGACCCCATGTGATACAGAGTGGAACTGCTCCTTAAGGTTTATAGAGCACCTGCTCTATACCAGACACTGTACTAACTGCAACAGATACAAAGAAAAATCAGATGCTTCTTACCTACAAATAGCTCATAGTCTAGTAGAGAGAAATATATAGCAAGTATTACCAAAAAATGTATTACACGCATATAGCCATTAAGAATACTAAAGTGTAGTAGATCCCATGATATAACCATGTATAGGGCATATAGGACTTGGCACAAAGGACTATTTATTGCTCAGTGAATGAAGGGCAAGATCAGGAAAGGCTTCGCAGAGTTGGTGACCCTGAGCTGAGTCTTAAAAGACCAGTAGGTGGACACTCCCAAAACAAGGGATCAAAGGGGATTTCAGGCAGAGGAGGCTGTGGACGGAAGGCACAGAAACTGGAAACAGACCCAGTGGCCATTCCTTGAGATTACCTGAAACAAACTGCAATATTTACAAGACTGACCGGAGGCTTGTTAACTGTGTTTGCATGTTCTGTTTTCCTCTGTGGAGGGTAAGCTCCTTCAGGACAGAAATCATGTCTTATTCTTTAAAATCCTTTTGTATATATCTGTTAGAATGGTTTTAGCTTTTGTGCAGAAATGAGAATTCATAACCAGTGTAAACAACTGCCCGCTTGTCTTTCTGACGGTTTCAGTTCAGACCCTTATTCTTTCCTGCCTGTTTTATGCCACTTACCTCCTTAGTGGTCTTCCTGTCTACTCCAGCCTTTTTCTCTCCTTCCAGCATCCAAACTACAGCCAGTTATTTTCTAAAAGATAATTCTAATCCTATCATTTTCCTGACCTGGAAAAGATACAGAGGGCATCAACAAAATAAATCTCAAAAATTATCCTCTGCACATGCTTCTGTCTTGAATCTCAGTTCGTTGTTGATATATTTGACTCCCCGGCTGCTCTGAGAGCAAGGAACTCAAGGACAGGAATGGTGTCTGTCTTAGTTATCTAGTGCTGCTATAACAGAAATACCCCAAAGAGGTGGCTTTAACAAACAGAAATGTATTTTCTCACAGTACAGTAGGCTAGAGTCCTAATTCAGGGTGCTGGCTCTAGGGTAAGGCTCTCTATGTCCACTCTGGGAGAAGGTCCTTGTCTCTTCAGCTTCTATTCCTAGATTCCTTGGCAATCATGTGGTATACATCTTCCCCTCCACTTGTGCTTGCTTGCATGATTGATTAATCTGCTCTTTTTTATCTCAACCAAGATTGATTTAAGACACACCCTACACTAATACTGCCTCTTGAACGTAACAAAGAAAATCCATTCCTGAGTGGGATTAGAACCTCAGGTATAACCTATTGCCAACAAGTCGATTCTTAATCATGGCGACCCTATAGAACAGAGTAGAACTGCCCCATAGAGTTTCCAAGGAGAGGCTGGTGGATTTGAACTGCTGACCTTTTGGTTAGCAGCCGAGCTCTTAACCACTCACTGCGTTACCAGCGCTCCAACCACAGGTATAGGGATTAGGATTTACAACACATATTTTTGGGCAACACAATTCAATCCATAATAATGCCTTATTCATCTTACTCATCACTGTCTAACAAAGTGTGTAGCAAAGAAGCCCCTGGTAAACATTTTTGGAATATTGTTAAATGAATATTTTTATTATATCCAAATGTAAGCAGTGATGGCATTATGTAGATCTGCTGAAAGAATTGTCACAACAATAGGTTTGTTTCATAATCTATATTTTAATCATTTCTCAGAATCCAGAAGCCAGATGAGCTGTCATCCCCTCCTACTACCTCTGCAGCCATTCCTCCAGTGGCACCACCAGCCCAACCTTCGGTGGCCCAGCCCAGTGTGTCAACCACCCAGCAGGTACAAGAATCTGAGGGAAACACAAGTGCTGTGGACAGTGACATGCAGACGCTATGACCACAATCATCGTGTATGGCATAATCACGCCACTTCCTGGAAAATAATCATTTATTGTAACTTCTTAACGATCTTGGGCAACACTTTCAGGATCACAATAATCATTTTGTCTAATGTCAGTGGTTCCTCTTGCTTTGGGAACATATTCTCCAGCTTCATAGGCAAATTTCATAGGAAAATAAACTCTTTGCAACGAGTATCTCTGACATTCCAGTTTTATGAAGGGTGTTAATTACATGTACTATGAGCTGCTGTCTCGCACACTGGCCCAGGAGAAACACTCTACACCATGAAACTCAGCTTCACGGAGCTGCAAAGAATTCTACTTTCTAAGATGGAACAACCATGCATATTAAAGGTCTCATCCTTTTAATTGATAACAATAATACATGTATATTGTAAAAACATTCAGAAAGTACAGAAGTATGTTAAGTAAAAACTTAGTAAAGTTTCTACTCCTGGACCCCCACCCGTCGGAGGCATCTCCTAGTAATAGTTTACAGCACATACTTTGAGGCATTTTCTCTGCATATATAAGAATATGTATGTATGCATATACTTGAAAACATGAAATCATGCTATCATGATATATTGATATTATCTTATCAATATATGCATTGATTGATAAGTAAGCATATTTAAATATATTGATCTACAACCTTTTTTTAAAAAATTTAAACAGAATTACTTATCTAGCCCATTTAATAATGCAGAGGCGTGAAATTTTATTCTAATCCAGTGGTTTTCAAGCTGTGATCTGTGGAGCCTCAGGGGTTCTATGGAAGCCCTTCAGGGCTAATTATATAGCTCTTTATGTGCAGAGGAGATGGGAGGCATATATTTTACAGTCACCATGACCTAAATTTGAAGTCAGTGAGTCATAGACTTAGGATATGTCAGTCTTTTTGTGCGAAGTTAATTTCATATACGAAATTCTATAAATTCATTATATCTATCTGTCTTTCTATCTATCTGTCTATCTATCTAGCTAGCTAGCTAGCTGTCTGTCTAATCATCTTAATGACTCTTATTGGTTCCCTTCTAACAGTGTCGGAGCCCTACCAACTATTTGCAAGGATTGGATGGAAAACCTATCATTGCAGCTCCTGTGTTTACAAAGGTAATCAAAATATTTCTGTCATGGCTTTAAACACACGCCAGCACCACAAAGTTGTAGGAGCCAAGGAGCCAAGATTTACTGATTCTATCTCAGAATTTGGGTCTCTTACAAGTGCAACATAGGTTTTGGTCTTTTTTCTTTTTTTGGTTTTGATTTTGGGTTTTTTTGGTAGTTGTTACAACGCTGTCACTTCAAGTTCCAGATTTCTAGTAACAGTTTTTGTAATGAGAGAACTACCGTCCCCCTTCACCACATTGATCTCTATGATCATCCCATTGTTGTTAAACACCGCAGCCACACCTCAACATCAGGTGATCAATTTCTAGTCACTTACTACTCTGGTGGGGTGTCTGGACTTTCAAAAGAATCGAGTTGCGCGGACATGCCTTTGGTGCGCCAGGAGATGGAGTTAAATGCTCTTAATGTAAAACCTAACTCCAGGACAAAGAGCTTTCTTTTCTATTCCATGGTATTAACCATTGTGATGGCAACATAATCTGAGTCTCATGATCTCTGTATTTAGAGCTGGAAATTTTAGTCAGGCTCCTTCATTTACAAATGAAAAAAATTAAGGAAGGGTCAGAGAGACTAAGCGATTTATCCAAAGTCACCAAAACAAATAAACCAAACTTGTTACCATCGAGTTGATTCCGACTCATAGGGACCCTATAGGTCAGAGGAGAACTACCTCATAGGGTTTCCAAGGCTGTAAATCTTTACGAAAGCAGGCTGCCACATCTGTCTCCCGTGGAGCGGCTGGTGGGTTTGAACCACCAACCAAGTGCTTAACCACTGTAACACCAGGCCTCCCTTCCAAAGTCACAGTACCAGTTACTGGCAGAGTCAGGAGTAGAAACAAGTTGCACCAATTCTCAGTCTGTTGTTCTTTTCCTTATATTTACATGGACTTTGTTGACATGTTGCCCAAGACAATAAGGTGAAAGGTGAAAAACTGAGTTGCATTAGATTTTTTTGGTATTATGAGGATCAAATGGATGGAATCTGTGCCTGGATTTACCATTTATTGTTTGTACGAAAAGCAAATTTAGATCCACAGACTTATTAATTTTCTCTTGAAATATCTTGAAACATGCTTTGGTTTAGAGCAATGGTTCTCAACCAGGGTTAATTCTCCTCCCCCTTCCCCCCAACCCAGGGACATTTGGCAGAGTCTGAAGACATTTTTGGTTGTCACAAATGGAGGGTTGTGAGACTGGCATTTAGTGGGTAGAAGCCAGGAATGTTGTTAAACATTATACCGTGCATAGGATACAGTACCCCCGCCCCAACAAATACCTATCCATCCCAAAACATCAATAGAGCTCAGGTTGAGAGCAAAACCGAACAAATGATGTCTGTTTTCCATGAGTACTGATCCTTAAAAGAAAAACTAAATCCACAACTTCCACAGAAGCCTCTATTTCAGGGGAATTCTGCCATATCAGCTCATCCAGATGGTTTTCCAAAATCAAGCATGGAGTCTAGAGTGAGACATATTTACCCGTGTCCATATCAGTTTGGCAAACATGTCAAACAAGATCCTCTCCATTTTTCAGGTTCATTTCTTCTAACCTGACCTGCATTTTAGCTTTCAGCTTTGCTATTTTCAAAGCTGGACCTGTGTGTGTGTGTGTGTGTGTGTGTGTGTGTGTGTGTGTGTGTGTGTAGCTAACAGAGGTACCTCTTATTGTCTTTTATTTTCACTGTTACGTCACCTATCGTTAAAACAAGGGTTTAAGTGGCCCAGAAATCAGCACACTTAATTTAACTTGTCCCACCCATTTGTCACACTTTAGAGACAGTGCTGACTTTTCAAAGCAACTAAACCACAGACTAATTTCTACCCAGTCCCGATTAAAGTCTCCTCCTGTCTTCTCTTCCTCACCACCATCCATGAAGCCAGGCAACAGACAGCCATCCTTATCTCCACTCAATTTTAGATCCTCCTAGGTGACCCATCTTCCCTGCACCTGTGCCATACCTCTGGTACACTATTTATCACAATAATAAAACTGTTTACTTTCTATCTCTCCCAAGCACCTTGAAGGCAGGAACTGGTTCTTTTCCATTATTATCTCTAATATCTACCTAGGCGTTCATAAAGGTAACAATAGGTCCAAAGCTATTTGTATTATTTCAGAAATTCCAACAGGACTTATCTATCCACTTATTCATTACACTTAATTTTCATGGGCTGATTAGAACATCAGTTTTAGCTGCTTTTGTGTGGTGACTCTGATTACCCCCTCCAATTAGATGCTCTGATTGGCAGATAGGTATGCCTTTAATAAATATAAATGGGAAAATGAATTAATCATTAGTATACGTTGTTTGTTAGATAAAATTTATGAAAGTTTTAGATCCACAGTGGGAAGACGGTCTTTAGTATGCAGAGCCAAACTCTGATGAGATGTTCTCAGCCCTTGGGACGTGTGCTTTTGCCTTCGTAAATGGGCAGTAGGACAGGCAGTGGCTCAAATTCCAGAGAGACTTAATCAGCACGGTGTGCTTGCATTAGTTTCTGTCAGAGGGCAAGATTGAGATCATAGCCACTGCCAGTGTCGTTGGCAAATTTCTGAGTCAGAGCCACTGAACATGGTAATCACTTGGCTATGAGCCATGATAACAGATCATTTGTATATGTTTGTTTGGGTTATTCCTGCTCTACTTACTTCTTTGGGGACCTCTGGCATTCCATCCCCTATGACTCACTTTTCTATACTGTCCAGCAAAACATTTCTTTGCCAATAATAACAAGAAGCCACTGTATTTTATTTTTATTTTAGCAACAATTAGAGAGTAGAGTTTTCTATAAGCACTAGTTTATTTAACTTGTTTCGCCTGCTTTTTAGAGATGAGATCATCAAGATTCAAAATGAAAAACAGTGGCAGAGTTTGAGAGAAGACCATGGGATTCCATATGCTAGCTCACTGCTCTACTCATAGGCAATACCTATGTTTTTTAAACACTGTTTAATGAACTGTGGATAGAGAGACACTATCCTCCATTCTTCATACAGTGTGAAAAGCACTTTCACTCTGCTTAGGGGGGAAAACAGGGCTCACACTTCTTGAGTGTAAAGAGAGGTAGATGATCAAATTAGAATCTTACTCCTGTTGCTGCTCCCACTCCAGCAGCAGCTGCTTTGGCGGGCCGTCAAGGCTGCAGCAGCCCTGGCTCCAGCTGCTTCAGCAGTAATTTGAAGAGTGCAAGGGGGCAGGGGAAGCGAGAATGTGAAGAAGAGCAGGTTCATTATATAATAGCAGAGGCAGGAAACCCTGAAATAACTGAGTCAATGGCCGGATCCAGATTTCTGAAGATTACGTAGACTGCTTTCCCCAAGCCAACAATTCCAGAGATTTTTCTGACTCGACTGGTACACTGAGTACCTGTGACAAGCAAGGGGCAAACAAACCTTCAAACAGTTTTTAATCAGTAAAAAACTGATTTAAAAAAAAAGAAAACCCTCTAGCCTAAAGGGCTGTATGCCTTCACTTGCAGCTTCCCTCAAGGTTACTGGATTAAAAAAAGGAATAAAATGACGATATGAACCTTGTTGCTGACATCGTTTAACCAACAAGGGATGTGCCCTTTCTCAAGGATGTTTACATTATATTTGTGGGTCTAGATCTACTAAGTAGGAACCGTGTCCTTTCAACTCACATCTCTGCACCTGGCACAGTGCTTACAAAGCACGCACATGCTGATAGTTATTCTGTGGTAAATAACTTCCATTTCAACTTCGGGCTTCTAAGAGTCTTTTCAAGTCACCCTACAAAGAATGATAAGTATGGTGACATAGAAAACAGATGTACACTTTGGATACTGTTTACCTCAGGAGGGTGTATACCTTCGGTTATAGTCACTTTAGTCCACATCCGTAATTCCTAGCAAAAACTAATTTAATCTTTGCTAGTTGTGGATTGTTTCATTTGTCTTATTTGTCTTTGTTAAAGTCAAGATGAATGTGATCAACTCAAGTCTGTACAGATCATGCCATTAGTAACAGCATAAGACCTACTGCTGTCAAAGATGGCGTCATCTACACCATGTTGTAATGTTGTAACTGGTTTGGACTCTGATGTGTGGCAATGTGAACCTGTTCTTTCCCATAAGACTTTATAAAAAAGCACAGTTTTCAGCAACAACAATTATCATTATTCTAAAATTTCCAAAAATATGACTTTCAACAACTTTTTCTAAGTGGCTTGTAAGATCCTTGGCCCTACTTTACTGAGTTTTGATGTGTCACAACTAGAACGAGCCTCCATCTCACATCACAGACACTTACAGGGCCTATTCCATACACTGTAGTATCTCAGTATCTTGGCTGGACACTCAAATAGAATATAGTTCTCTGCCTTCATTGTCAAAAAGTAATAGCAATCAACTAAGGTCAGTCTAGGGAGTCCTGGTGGAGTAGTGGTTAAGTGCTCAGCTAACCAGAAGGTCAGTGATTTGAACCCACCAGCCTCTCTTCGGAAGAAAGATGTGGCAGTCTGCTTCCATAAAGATTTACAGCCTTGGAAACCCTATGGGGCAGTTCTACTCTATCCTAAAGGGTTGCTATGAGTCGGAATGGACTCCACGCCACACAACAACAATGCTGGACTAAATTGTGAGCAATATAGTCTCTCACGGAGGTCCTTTTGCAAGCAGAGCTTTGGTGTAACAACTACAAATTGAGAATCGGCTCATATGAGCTGAACTGAACTGTAACCCATGTCAGAATATATAGGGTAACTTCATTCTTCCTATATCCGTTTTATAAACCTACCACATTCCATTTATGTAATCATTTCGTGCCACCCATTTTTTGGTTTTGCTTTCTAATTTATTTGCCTCAAGAAGGAATGGAAATTCCATTGTATATGAATCCCAGAGAGCTATCTGATTTACATTCAAGTTTCCAATAGACCACAAACTGGCATTTTATCACAGAATTTGCTCAAATGTTAGGGTGGCAGGCGTACGCCCTCGCTTGCTAGCACACCCAAGACTGGATTGACACTCCTGTTTTTGTAAAGGAGCCCTGGTGGCGCAGTGGTTATGCACTCGGCTGCTAACCAAAGGTTGGCGGTTGGAACCCACTACCCACTCCAGGAGAGAAAGATGTCTGTGAAGATTTACAGCCTTGGAAACCCTATGGGGCAGTTCTACTCTGTCCTATAGGATCGCTATGAGTCGGAATTGACTGGACAGCAACGGTTGGTTTGTTTTGGTTTGGTTTTCATTAAGAGCATTACATCCATGTCACCAGATGTTGTTTTGGGTAGACAAGGAATAAACAGATTTTTCAGACAAGTACCCGTTGCCATCGAGTAGAACTGCCCCATAGGGTTTCCAAGGAGCGGCTGGTAGATTCGAGCTGCCGACCTTTCGGTTAGCACCCGAGCTCTTAATTCCTGCGCCACCAGGGCTCCTTCAGGCAAATAGCTCTTTATTAATTCAGAAACCACTCTGCACTAATCCCATCCCGAATTACTTCAACAAATTTGGGAACGCTAAGGGAACAAAACACTAACATGGAACTACAGCGCCCCCTGGCTGTCACAATACCAACTAACATACATTTCCGAGGTGGTTAAGAACCCGGCTGCTAACCAAAAAGGTCACCAGTTCGAATCCACCAGCCGGTCATTGGAAACCTTATGGGGCAGTTTTACTTTATCCTATAGGGTCGCTATGAGTTGGAATCCACTCAATGGTAACGAGTTTTTACAGCTAAAGCCACATGGTTATCCCAACCCTTGTATTTCTTAGGAAAGGAGGCCTGGTGGTGCAGAGGTAAAGTACTTGGCTACTAGCCCTAAACCTCGCTGGTTAGAGACCACCAGCCACTCCTTGAGAAAAAGATGTGGTCGTCTGTGGCAGTCTGCTTCTGTAAAGATTTACAGCCTTGGAAACCCTATGGGGCAGTTCTACTCTGTCTTACAGGCTCACTGAGTGGGAATCGATTCCATGGCAATGGGCTTGGGCTTTTTTGGTTTTATATTCCTTAGGCAAATGCCATAATTATCATGGGAGTCATGCACAAAATAGTGTAAGTTATTCAAGTAAAAGTTGTAAACAATCACGACATGTTTGTAAGAGTGAATGACAAAACCCCACTGGTTTTACTTTTCTCTGAAGCAAGAGCCAGTATTTCCTAAATGCAGGTCCCAAAATTGAAATAACAGAAAGCCTTGCAGCATTTGTTACTTATAGAGTTTGTGGAAGAAGCTTAATCATAACCCTTCCGTGTTTACAGTCTTTGGGCCAAAATTAAATACAAAAATATGCCCACATACATGCCAAAGATATATTTATTTCATCACCAAAAGTAGTATACCGACTACACAAATGAATGTATGATTTTTAGCTCACAAACCAAGGTGGATATAAGAACAGCTGTGAAAGGAAAATGTGAGTTCCACCCTCCTGTAGAGTCTATCATAGAATACACTAATATTTCACAATCCAAGATTTCTTGAAAACCTTTTTTCACAGAAGTGTGGAAAAGCATTTAATGGTTCCTCCACAAAATTACAACATATTTTACAATTACATAAGATTTTACACGTGACTATAATTTTACAAGGAGTGTCATTATTTCTATCTCTCAACAAATCAGAAATGCTGTGCTGTAAAGATCCCATAACGTAAACAAAACAGAAAAACAAACACCAATTTCCAGAAGTGCATAGTGTAAACAAGGCAAAGCCAGGGACACAGCCAGTTGTTTGGGCCACAGGGCTGCTCCACATGATTTAGGGAAAAAGAAAAAAAAAAACAGTTGCCTAGAGTCAATTCCGACTCCTGGAGACACCGTGTGTGTCAGAGTAGGACTGTGCTCCGTAGGGTTTTCAATGGCTGATTTTTCAGAAGTAGATCACCAGGCCTTTCTCCTGAGGTGCCTCTGAGTGGACTCAAACTTGCAACCTTTTGGTTAGCAGCCGAGTGCATTAACTGTTTGCACCACCCAGGGACTCTGTTCCACATCATGGACAGCCATAATCTTTTGTGGGATAATACATCCCTCCTATGCTGAATATACCTAGTCGATACTCACTGCAAATTTATTACTATTATTATTATTGTTATTTCTGGGAACCAAACTCCACTTGGCCCTCACAATGCGAAAATGAGGGAAACCAAAAGAGCTGGATTGATACAATAGTTATAACTCAAAACATGCCAATGATCATGAAGATGGCACAGGACTGGACAACTGCTCGTTCTGTTATGTAAGTATAGGCTGACTCGAAGGCAAGTAACAACAACAAACTTACCTAGCACTGAAGCAGGAAGGTAAAGGAAAAAGGTAATAAGGAAAAAGCTTTTATGTGGGCCCCGGTGATTCAATCTTCAAAAATGCATAGACTTCATGTACAAGCACAGAACTGAAGCTGCTGGAGATGTGAGGGACTTGGAGAAAACTCAAATATTGTTGTCTTTTTTTTTTTTTTTCAAATTCAGCACTGGAAGTAGATTCCAAGAATGTATATATTTTGGTTCTCACAATATTATTCTCATTACAGATGCTACAAAATTTATCGGCCTCTGAGGGTCAGCTGGTCGTCTTTGAGTGCAGAGTAAAAGGAGCACCATCTCCTAAAGTTGAGTGGTATAGAGAAGGGACCTTGATAGAAGATTCTCCAGATTTTAGGATTTTACAGAAAAGTAAGTTGATGTTTTAAAATGATTTTTCTGATAATTTGTTCTTTTTTTCATTGTGATAAGTATATATGTAACAAAACGTTTGCTATTTCTGCAATCTTGACATGTACAATTCAGTGACAGTATTATGTTCATCATGGTGTTCAACCATCACCATTAACCATTCCTGAATTTTTGACAATTTTTTCTTAAAAATTTATTTTATATATGTATTTTTTAACTATTTAACAACTAACTAAAAATGCAAACGATCAAAAAGAATGAAATAAAAATCACCTATAATCATGCTCCCCAAAACTCCCAAATACTGTTAATATTTTGGTGTAAATTCTTCCAGAATTTTTCCATCCATATGGTTTTAAAATAAAAATAAAATCATAGTCTTCTTCGTAAATTCTTTTTTTCACTCAGCATTTTATGAACATCTTTCCATGTTAATACAGATCTTTCTTTTTAAAATAAATCGGTAGCATTCAATTTCATATTTATCTCCTATTGTTGAACATTTAGATTGTTTACAAGTTTCACTATTATAAACTGTGTATCAATGCATGTTCACAGAGGAAATTTTTGTGAATATCTGTAGTTATTGGCTTGGAATAAATTTCTAGTACTGGAATTGCAAATGTAAATTCACATTTTTTACGTTTTTAGTACATACCAAAATGCCATCCCAAAGGTTGAGCTATATTTAGGATGATCACACAACTGATCACCCAAACTGGTACACTTTTTAGAGTGAAAGAGGATGCTATTAATAATTATGCAGGGATGCCAGGCATAAACTATGTCTGCCCCAGTTAAACTGAGACACATTTTGTCCTAGCTGTGGTATACTACAGCCCCCAATTTATGGGAATACATTTTGCCTCATACCTTCACCTACAATGGGTATTAACTTTTTTTTTTTTAACCTTCACCAATTTTATAGGCCAAAATTGGGACCACATGTTTTAATTTGCCTTTCCCTTGTGGCACAGTGGTTAAGCGTTTAGCTGCTAACCAAAAGGTCTGCAGTTTGAATCCACCAGTTGCTCCTTGGAAACCCTATGAGCTCGTTCTACTCTGTCCTATAGGGTCACTATGAGTCGGAATCGACTTGACAGCAATGAGTTCTCATTAATTAGATGTGGGATGGAACTTTTTTTCATATTTTACTGGGTCTTTGTATTTACTTGTAAATTGCCTGTTCGTATCCTTTGCCCATTTTTATATTCAAGTTTTGTTCTTCTTCTTAGTCACTTATAAGAATTATTTATATATTCAAGTGGTTAACTTTTTTAATTTCATGTTATGTATGTTTATGCAGTGCTCTCACCTTGATCCATCTCTGCCATAAAATAAGTTGAAATTTATTTGCTGCTTTGTTAGTTTCTTTCTGCCTATCACAAAATAGTTCTTGGATTAATATAGTATGTGAATCAGAACCAGTATCAGATTTTAGCAGCAGTAGCAGCAACAATAATATACTCTGAAAACCATTTAAACTGAGAAAAAAAATTGAACAGTTTTATCAGTGTAGAAGATTGTATCTAAGTTCAACAAATATTTTTTGAGTGGCTGCAATTCAATAAACATTAATCAAACACTTGCAGTCAGTATTGTGCTGGACACTTTCAAGAATACCAAAGAATTTTAAGATAAAGAACCTGCTCTCAAGGAACCTATCTTGAGGCCGTGGATATTAGAAACCTCAGAAGAGAAGGTATATTCTACATTTTATTAGGATGGGAAAACCCGAAGGAAGTAATGGCCTCTCAATCTTCACAAACTCTTTTTTTTTTTTTCTTTTATTGTATTTTAGGCGAAGGTTTACAGAGCAAATGAGTTTCTCATTAAACAATTAATACACACATTGTTTTGTGACATTGTTTGCCAATCCTACGAAGTGTCAACACTCTCCCTTTCTTGACCTTGGGTTGCCGGTTTTCCATTCGTCTAGCTTTCCTGTCCCCTCCGGCCTTCTTGTCCTTGCCGCTGGGCTGGTGCACCCATTTAGTCTCATATACGTGGTTGAGCTATGTGTATTATTGTTTGTTTTATGGGCTTGTCTAATCGTTGGCTGAAGGGTAACCCTCAGGAGTGACTTCAGTACTGAGTTAAAAGGGTATTCGGGGGCCATACTCTTGGGGTTTCTTTAGTCTCCGTCAGACCAGTAAGTTTGGTCTTTTTATTGTGAGTTAGAATTTTGTTCTAGATTTTTCTCCAGCTCTGTCCAGGACCCTCTATTGTCATCCCTGTCAAAAGAGCGGCCGATGGTGGTAGCTGGGCACCATATAGTTGCGCTATACTCAGTCTGATGGAGGGTGTGGTAGCTAGCTGTGTTTCATTAGTTTCACAAACCATTTTTCAGATTAGGCTGATTGAGTACCAGTAAAAGCAAGTCATTTCTGAATCCCAGCTAGCACACTAAGTTTTCCCCACCTAAGGTTTACATACCCAGGTGTGTCCCCACATGTGGCAACATCATTGATTAGCAGCTCTCTTGCTGCCATTCTGTGATAATCCATCCTGTCCTTGTTTCTTAGATCATTTTACTTAACAGTTACAGATGAACCTTCTCAAATCACTCCTGAGTATACCAGAGACTATAGAGCTCTATAAAAGCTTCTAGTGAATACATAGCCTCTCAGTAAAATAAATGCTCAGAATCCTCTAACTTAATTTTTTTTCCCTTTCAGAACCTCGGTCCATGGCAGAGCCAGGTAAAAGATCACTTCCATCTTAATTTATTAGTATGTGTTCACTGATTTGATAAATATACAAAAACAAATTGGAATTACTCCTTTGTCAAGAACAAAGAGAAAAATAAAGTTTTAGAAAAAAAATCAACTCTAGCTATTACTGTAGGGAAAGAGAAAGAGGGGAACGTACAAATTTGGAATACTGTGCATATATATATATATATTTTTCTTTCCCCCTCTGTGCTTAGAACCCACTCATAATTTCCAAACTGGGCAGAGCAATTTCCAAGATGTTAGGTAATTCTAATTCTACAGCATGTGTCTCAAAACTTGTACATCAGACTTTGAAATTTGCAGAGATTCAATAAAACGTCCATGGTGTTATTAGATTTGGTTGGGAGGATACTAAAGATGAGATCGAAATAGCATTTAGTAGGTGAAGGTCTTACCTCTAAAAAATGCAAGTCACTCACAAATCATGTATAAACATCTAAATGCCATCTCTGGTGACTGTCCTGAGAAATCAGATTGTACCTGCAGCCCTGGGTAAGAATTTCATTATTATAATTCTCTCTTCTGGTAACTGAATGGAAAGGCATTCCAGAAGCAGACCCTGGACATTCGTGTTGCATACTTGACCCTTGGGGATACATAGTAAAGACCAGAAGTAGTCTTTATTCTTGCACTGCTTGTAGTGGAGTAGTATTTTTTCCCGTGAAAATATTTTAGGCCTTTGATTCTTTCATCACAAACTGGCTTTTTCGTTAGGCAATTCCATTCACAAAATAATTTCAGAGTCACCCAAAATAGGTCCCTGCTCAAAACAAGTCCAGATCCACGACTCCTAAAGTTTCACAGTTAGAGAGTTCTTCCTTCCACCTAATAAAAGCAAATACCCTTTGGAAACAGGATACTTTAGCTTATCAGGCAGATATACAGTGTAGTGGGAATGAATTTATCAGATCATTTTCTGAGAGCAGGTTGCTGGAAGACAGAATATGAATGTTTGGGCAGGGGAACAGAGAAAAGGAAGCACAGGCCAAGGACTCAGAAAAAGGCAGAGAAGCACCAAAACCAGACTTTGCCTCCATCATTTAAAATTCTTTGGGCAGAAAGTAAAGAAGACCTAATTTAAAGAGGCTTAAGCAATAAGAAGAAATATATTTTCTCACGTAACAGGAAACCCTAAGAAATGGCAGTCCTGGCGTTGGTTAGTTTAGCAGCTCAGTGATCACCAGGGGCTAAACCTTTTTTTCTTTTCCATTCTGCCATCTTGAGAGTATCTTCTTAGGCTGTCTCTAGTCGTGGACCCAAGATTGCTGCCATGGTTCCAGGTACCACATCAGATGACAACATCCAGAGGCAAAATAGGGAATAACAGTATCTTGTGTCCCTCATAAAGAACAAGTAGAACTTTCCCAGAAACTCACCAGAAGCCTTTTCCTCACATCTCAGTGAGCAAAATTGAGTGTCACATGCCACCACTTAGCAAGAATAGAGTTAATGACTGGCTGGTACCAATTGTAATTCACCACTGGAGACTGGGAGAGGCCAGCTTGCCTCAAAGAACATGGCATTTCCCAGAAGGGTGGAGAATACCAGGATACTATTAAAAAGGAACAAGGAGGATGAAGGGTTATTGAGTAGTAACTCAATACTATCTGCAACAGCCTCCTGTCCAATTTTCCTGCGGGTGGTCCAGCTAATTCAATTCCATTATCATAAAACACTGAGATGCCAAGCCTCTCCTAATACAGCTTATGTTTGAATCATTTTATTCTTAATGCAGGGCTTCGAACCAGTTCAAACCAGTTCAGTCATGGCCAACGAAGCAAAATCAAAACAAACCTAAATTTTTTAAATTTGAGTGAAGCGAAACGATAAGTGGAATAGGAAAAATTAAGGTTTGAAGCCCTGGAATGGGAGAGTCGGAAGAGGTGTAGTGAGCCCTTTCAGGAGCCTGATGTGGGAGATTGGATTATTGCCAGTACTATGGAGAACTACACACATTCAAAGCAGCACATTTGGCTGCCATCTTCCAGCAGGCAACTGCTGTTTCCAACGCTGCGGATCAAGAGATTTGGTTGCTATGCAACATGCACGCTGCCCTTGTTTACTAAGAGGGAGATTAAGTTTCTAGCAGGGTCTCCACCCGTAATTTTTCTCATTCCACTTATCATTCCCCTTCACCCACATTTTAAAAATCGAGTCTGTTCGGTTTTCACTTCATCGGCCATGAGTGAGCCAAGCAGAAGTGGTTCGAAGCCCTGTGTTAATGTCTGGCATATCGAGTGATATCTGAGAGTTTATGCTACTGTCTTACATCTCCTCTTCTTTAGCTATCAAGGAATATGTAATTGTAATAACTTTAGGCTTCAGTAGTACGGCTCTGTCTGTGTAATTATTGATGGGGGCTCATACTGTGTATCAGAATAATCCGCAAAGAATTACCACAATATGACCAAGGAAGATAAGCATTTCACTCTTCTTTCATCCAAAATTTCAGCTAATTACTATTAGTTCCTTTTCTAAAAGTAGAATGCCAATCCCTCTGAAGCTAAGCAAAATATGTACTTATTATCCAGTTTTAAATTGTGGCTTTTGTTTAAAATTGCCTCACTACAAGTAGAAATAGTGAGACACCTGGGTTTGGAAATGTTTTATTAGTTCCTTTATTTGACTCCTTATGCTTTAATTCCCAATTTGTTTTTGTGGTTTTTTACATTTATTGTTACTCCATTCTATTTTCTGTCATCTGGACTCACAATGTAAAAACAGAAGATAATCCAATAATCCATTATATATAATTTGCTATGTTATTACGTAATCTCCGTTTCAATACTTGATCTGTTTGCATGGAGTTATTGGATGTACACCCTTTGACTCATCTCACCTGCTAATCAATCAATTCAATCAAATAATTATTTTGGCTAATTATTTTCAAAGAATTAATATAGCCAGCTTCTTATACTGACTTTTGCTGAATCATTATCTGATATCAGTAAATTTCACTTCCATAGTTAAGTCAATAACCGTTCTATTTTACTGGCATCTAGAGGAGATCTGTACTTTGGTCATTGCTGAGGTATTTGCACAGGACTCTGGGTGCTTCACATGTACTGCAAGCAACAAATATGGCACTGTGTCAAGCATTGCACAATTGGATGTGCGAGGTAAGGGCTCCTTAAATGCCATAATACTTTAGACTATGACCTTGATATGAACGTAGAGAGTTTGTATAACATTTCCTTACTGTTTCCATATGAAGCTAGCTTGGCTCTCCTAAAATACTTAAATTATTGAGGAAAATAACCTTGAATAATATTCAATTTTCAATAGCCTTTTCTTATTGTATTTAGAATCACCACCATCACCACCGCCACAGTTATACCTGCTGTTGTCTGTTATACCCATTGCCGTCCAGTGGGTTCCGACTCATATAGGACAGAGTAGAACTGCCCCCATAGGGTTTACAAGGCTGTAATCTTTACAGAAGCAGACTGCCACATCTTTCTCCCATGGAGCAGCTGGTGGGTTTGTACCACCAACCTTTTGGTTAGCAGTTGAATGCTTAAGCACTGTACCACCAGGGCTCCTTTATGCTCCCTTAAAAAAGAAGTTCTCCTTGGTCTTATATAAACTTCTAAAATTCCTTCCCAAATAACACTTAGATTTTTACTTTAGTTTTTTTCCTCTCCCTGTATCCTCTTCATTCTTTAATGCCCAGATTATGTTCTCTGGTTTTGAGAAGCATTTTCCCATTAGTATACTCAGCTGGTTTAAATAGTTTTCCATTTGTATATATGCCCAACTCTAGGGTTACAAGCCTATTTCAGTCTTGTTGGGTAAGGCTAACAGCTCAGGTCTGTAATTGTCCTTTTAGGAAATGAAGACCTGAGCAATAACGGGTCTCTTCGCTCAGCCAGCTCTACAAACAACCTGACTATCACTGAGCAACAGCCATCCCCACCCTACCCGGAGCCTCCTTCTGTGGAACAGCCCCCCAGACCCAAACTGGAAGGGGTTCTGGTGAACCACAACGAGCCCCGGTCCAGCTCAAGGATAGGCCTTCGTGTGCACTTTAATCTGCCCGAAGATGACAATGGAAGTGAAGCATCTTCTGAGGGTGTGATGCCTACTGCCAACCAGACCAGGCCTAATTCTTTCCAGGAGAGGTTCAATGGACAGGCAGCAAAAATCCCTGAGCCTTCTTCTCCCATCAAAGAGCCCCCTCCAGTCCTGGCTAAACCCAAACTGTAAGTAAAAATTAGAATGGATAACCAAGAGCACCTGTAATCTTCTCCTGAGTCTGTCCTTCTTAAAAATGGTGGCTCTTTTAAAAGGGAATTACCAAATGGGAAAATACATATAAAATGCTTTGCAAACAGTACATCCTTACATCAATGTTAGCGTACTATCAGTATCATGCTTGTTATTAATATTCTACTTCCCAGCAATACTACACCTAAACTAGCTCAGAAAGACATTGGTCTAACATCAGAGGCCTCCAGGTAAAGCATTTCTACCCTCTTCTTATAAAACCCGTCCTTGTGTCTAATAATCCTGATAGTCTATAGTTTCACCCTTGTATTTTCCATTTCTGCTTTATCCTAAGCTTTTTTAGTCATTATGAAAAACTATTTAGGATTTTTTAAAATAGTTCTTTGTTATTGATGGATACACTATAGTAACATCAGTAGGTTTTGTATAAACGTAATAGGATGAAAGAAGGAATCATGATTTTCAGACTCACCCCAGGAGCCTGATGTCTCACCATAACACTCTAGAGCCTCTGTCAGAACCGTGTTGCAGTGTTTAATGTTCATCCATAGCAAAGCAAATACAGAACGTGATGATACCGTTATGTTCTGTTTCATCCACATGTCAAAATTATATACGTTATGTTTAGAATTACATAGACCTTTAGGCATCAGCATTAAAGTCTGCAGCCTCATCAAGTGTTCTCAGCGCCGACCCCGAGATGGTCATTGGAAGCAGTGCATGTCATTTAGTTTTATGTTTCTTCTTCTTACCATTACATGAGGCAAAATTCTGGGCTTCGAGTTAAATGGTACAAAACATGCCTCTTAGCAAGTCATATCCAAAATTGTCTCTGTCCCCTTGAAGTTCTGTTGCTCACAGTAAACAGGAATCCCTTAAAGTAAAAAGAGAGGAACAGGTCATTGTAGGGATATAGGACGGGACCAGAAACAAAACTCAGCCAGGCCCTGCGTGGAGAGGGAGAACTCATGAGGGGAGCTAGGCCTGCTCCCCTGTCACTCAGGGGCCACATGATTAACCCATTCTATGTCCACACCACCAGGCTGTCTGAGGACTTCCTTGTTTCCTCTTTGCGTATCTGCTCCATTCTTCTTTCTTTGAAGACTCATCAATTCATACCTGGCCCATAATGTTATGTCCTCGCTCTACATCAGGATCTATCAAGTTCTGCTGCTAACAAAATCATTCTCCTTGGCTCAATCCCATATTCCAATTGGCCCACCCCTGTCAGGTGACTACACCCCATCCCACCCCAGTCCACTCAGCTAGCTAGAGGATTTATGTTGGGAAAGAAGAAGAGTCACATGGATCAAATCAGAAACTGGGTGGAGGCTGTTGTCAGAGAAGGGAGCTATGGGAAACAGGTAACAAAAACAACCTCCTTGGGAATAGCCCCTTGGTAGAGACTCCTTTTACCCAGGGACAGTTTTGGGGATTATTAAGTATGTCAGTTAGGATGAGTTTTAGCTTCATGTTACAGAAAACCTAAACTAACAGCGAGTTAAACACATAAGGGTTTATTTTCTTTCACATGAAGGAATTAGGTGGGCAGTCTGGGACTGTTATGGTGGCTTCCTAGTCATTAAAAACCAAGCCTCCTTCTGTCTTCTGCTCTGCCATCTTCAGCACTGGCTTCTGCTCTAGGTCTCTTCATGATCCAAGATGGCTGATGGTGACCTAGTCCTCACATCTGCATTTTAGGGAGCAGGAAGGGTAAATGGGCAGAAGTGTATGGTCCTGATGTCAGAACTCCTTTTAGAGTCTTTATTAGTGGTCTCACCCAAAATCTTCTGCTTATATAGTCTTCAGCTAGAACTTAGTCACATAGTATACTGGCTGCAAAGAAGCTCAGGAAGTGTAGTCTTTAGCCAGACATATTGCCACTGTGAATAAAATCGGGTTCCTTTACAAGAATGGACAACCAACTAGCAGTGTGTGCTACATGAGGCTTCCAATTAATGTCAAAATTCTTAGTGGTAAATTATATAGCAACACCCTTTAAAATTCTAGCCCTCAGCACTGTGTGCTTTTTAAACATTTTTTGCTCACATTAAATTTTCTCTTAATTGTGTGTATATACGTTTGTATTGGTATAGTTATAAATATACATGCGCATGCACAACCCCCCCCAACACACATCCGTTGTGAATCTACATGCCTACAACCTTCTTCTGCTGCTTTTAACCTCACTAGTTTTAACCTCACAGGTTTTATATTAAAATATTGAGTCTCGGAATAATCTTAAAGATACAATTTTATGCTTGTGCTTTCAATTTGCCATTCATACAGAAAATAGAAATAATACTCATAGATCTTAAACCTGCAACAGAAAGGGAGGCTGTGCTGTGTAAGCATTTTATCATCAAAGCCTGCATATTTGAGACTTTGAAATCTTAACCTTGAATATCAAGCTGTCTAGAGCAATGATTCTTAATCCTGACTACACTCTAGAATTTAAAAAAAAAAAAAAAATTGCCGTCAAGTTGATTCTGACTCATAGTGACCCTATAGGCCAGAGTAGAACTGCCCCCATAGGGTTTCCAAGGCTGTAATCTTTATGGAAGCAGACTGCTACATCTTTTTCCCACAGAGAGGCTGGTAGGTTCAAACCACCAACTTTTCGGTTAGCAGCTAAGCGCTCAACCACTGTGCCACCAGGGCTCCTCCTTAGAATAAAAGGTGGAATTTTTTAAAAATATGCATGCCCTCTCTCTGTGTTGAATCAGAATCCCTCCACAGATTATTCTACTGTCCAGCTAGTTTGGAAATCATGGGTCTAGAGTTAGGGAAATAAACTGAGTTTCAATTCTTTCTGCTCCCTCCCCAACCCCCACACCCAGGAAAAAATGACAATTAACATATAAAGTGAGGAAAATGTCAGATAAAAATCAGAATGTATGGGGAAAGCTTATGCTTTGCGGACAAGTATTTTTTTTTAATTGGTGGTTCTTAGTCTTGAATGCATTTTAGAATCACATAGGGCCTTGCAGCTCAAAGTATGGCAGGTGAACCAACAGCATCACCTGGGAGCTTGATAGAAATGCACACTCTCAGGCCCCACCTCATACCTTTGGAATCAGAAACTCTAGGGGCGGGGACCAGAAGTCTGTGTTTTAGCAAGTCCTTCAGGGGATTCTGACGCAAGCTAAAGTTTAAGAGCCACTGGTCTAAATTTAAAAAGATAATAACAACTATACCTAGATTCCATCCCAGGCCAATTGACTCTCTGGGCAATGGTGCCCAGGAATCAGTGAGGGTTATTTGTTTTGTTTTGTTTTCTTTTAGGCTGTGCTGGAAAATGTTTAACAACTGGTGAGGGTGGGGAAGCCCTAATTTGTAGCACTTGCCAATTTTTATGGTGTAAATACTCCCACAGTGGCCAATTTTAAGCTGCTAACGGCATGTTCCTTGGAAGTGAGGATGGTGAGATGTTGTCTCACTTACTTTAGACATGTTATCAGGAGGGATCAGTCCCTGGAGAAGGACGTCATGCTTGGTAAAGTAGAGGGTCAGCAAAAAAGAGGAAGACCCTCAACGAAATGATTGACACAGTGGTTGCAACAATGGGTTCAAACATAGCAACGTTTGTGAGGATGGCGCAGGTTTAGGCAGTGTTTCATTCCATTGTACATAGGGTCTCTATGATTTGGAACCCACTCAACAGCACCTAACAACAACAGTGGCATTGGTGGTTCTGTGGTAGAATTCTCTCCTTTCATGCAGGAGACCTGGGTTTGACTCCTGGCCAATGCACCTCATGCATAGCCACTACCCATCTGTCTGTGGAGGCTCGCATGTTGCTATGATCCTAAACAGGCTTCAGCATAGCTTCTAGACTGAGACAGACTAGGAAGAAAGGCCTAGTTATCTACCAAAAAAAATCAGCCAATTGAAACTTTACAGGTCACAACAGTCTGGTCTAATCCACAGCCAGTCATGAGGATGTTGCAGGACCAGCAGCATTTCATTCAGTTGGTCGTGGGGTCCCCATGAGTCAGGGGCCAACTCCACGGCAGCTAAAAACAACGGAAGGTCATTGATCATGGAGTTGAGATGTAATGTGCACAGTCTGCTCTAGAGAGCTGGTGAGATCACAGGCGGCCTGAGACTGTTGCCAGAACTGCTTTCAAAAGTGCTTGATACTGAATTCCAAGTTTGTTTTGTTGTGTTTGCCACTAAGTCTTGACATTTCAACTTGACAATTCAAAATTCTTAAGAAATTCCTTTGTATTCCAGAAACCACAACAAGAAGCATCCTTAAAATCCTGAAACTCTGCCTTTCATTCTTACAAATCTTGAAATGGATTTTTGTAGTTCAGGAACTAAAAAATATAAGTGCCACAAATATTGAGCACTCGTATGTGTCAGGTGCTTTATTCATATTTTCTTATCAATTCTCACAACCATCTTAAGAGGTATTATTTATTCCTATTTTCCTTATGAGGAAATGGAGCTCAGAACAGTTAAGAAACTATCCAAAGACACACAGATAATAAATGGCAGAGCCAGGATTAGGACCTAGATCTGTCTGCAGAGCTTATGTTCTTAACTGTATGGCTAAGTGGTGGCAAAAGGGAAGATGTTTTAAGGTAACCTGAGGGAATTGACAAATCTTCAGAAAGAAAACTGGATATAAAATCCTGATTTCATAAATCCTCATAGCAAAAAGAATAAATAGGCGGTGAGCAGCTGAGCTTAGCAATTTATGACAGATTGTTACTACGAATTAGAGGGGTTACTCGGGATTTCAGAACTGGTGTGCTTTGTAATTAATCTTCCCTTCCTTTATCCTTTCATTGCACTTTGTACCTTCATTAGTAAATGGTAAGTCAGCTCCACATGTTATTTGTAAATAACTAGTGGTTATTTGTGTTATATGTATGTATGCCCTACTAGATTTTTGAACCCTCAACAGTTCATACTATCTCAGGCACATTTGTCTCCTACAGCATCTAGCAAAGTAGACATATAGTAG